GGATGGACAATATGGGTTGGATAAGATAAGATTGATTGGATTGGACAAGATGGATTTGAGAAGATAAGCTGGATTGGATAAGAAAGCCCGCCGCAGGCGCCGAACAAAATGAATTATGAAATCATCGGCATGCGTTAGCGCCGGGACGCCCGGGACACCCGGGACACCGCCCGGCCCATTTAGGACACCTCCCGGCCACCAGCGGACGGAAAACGGACTTTCGCTCCTACTGACACCCGGCCGGGACACCGCCCGGCCCAACTGGGACACCTTGCAGCCACCAGCGGGCGGGAACGGACTTTCGCTCCTACATCGGCCTAGCTACAGGAGGATCACGCGCAGCTTCGCCTCGCCCGCACGCGCGACACGAACACGAAACCGAAACCGATTTCCCGGTGGGGTTTTCCGCTTCAGTGCGATCTTACCCCCCAACCTCCGATGGGTCCACTGGGTTTAGTTTCCCTGCCCCTCCCACCGCCTGGCCATCACGATCCTCACCATAACCCTGGTCATACCTAATCAGTTTCTCTTCATCCACCTCCTCCTGGTCTCTGATCGTTGTCTGCATCCTCATGTACCGCCTCTCCCCCTGTCACCGTCCTCGTCCACCTCGCCCTCCTCCCCCCCCCGTCCCTAAGATATGCGTTCGCTCCTCCTTCCCATCCTCGTCCTCCTCTTCTCCCCATACACCTCCTCATCGACTCATCCTCTTCCTCGTCCTCCACCTCCCGCCGTCCTCCCCCCTTCATCGATCATCCCTCTTCGTCCTCCCTCTCATCCTACTCCGTTTTCTCCTCCTCCTCCTCCTCTTCTTCCTCCTCCTCCTCCTCCTCCTCCTCCTTCTCCCTTTGCCAGAGGAGGAGAGGTGGATGTGGGGGTAGATGACGACGACGAAGCAACAACAAACAAATGCCCCCTTCCCCAGGCTCGCGGTCCCCGAGGTCCTGTCCGCCCTGGTGACCGCGGTGGCGAAGCACCCGGAGCCGAAGGACGTGGGGGTGAAGGCGAGCGAGGCGCCGTCCGCGGAGGGGGGCGACGAAGGCGACGGCTCAGATCGCCGCCGACGATCAGGTCGGTTCGGGGAGGTTGCCCTTGATGTTCTTCTGTCTTAGGCCCGGCCGTCGAACAAACTTTTGTGTGTCCTTCATTTCGGCCTCTGGGGCCGCTTTCGGGCCCCGGGCCAATACAAACATGGATCCGGCGTGCAAAACTACCAACGCGGGAGGGGTCGCGAGCCCAAAAGAGCCGCGGACTGAAACTTTGATAGCGGAGGATGCCTGGGGAAGAGGACCACGACGAAGTTTTCCGCATGTTCTGACGTGTTCGTAGGTCCCCAGAGGCTCTTCCAGCGTCGGGACGCTCCCCAGCAGCTGCGCCCTGCCAGCAGTGTTCTAGGGGTGCCCGAGTCGTCCTGGAAGGCCGCCAGAGGCCCCGGGTGCGGCCTGCAAGCCAGACTTCGTCGTCCTTTGGGCATCACGGCCGCAGGCTTTGGGCCGCTTTAAGGCTCTGAGGGGCCCTTGCCAGGGCCATCTGAAACCGACTCAGGATGAGAAGCGGGTCCCCAGGAAGGGGTCCACAGTGTGAGATAGTAGTCACGGCGTGGGGCTTCTCGGGGGGAGGGTGGGAGAGGAGGAGGAGGAGGAGGAGGAGGAGGAGGAGGAGGAGGAGGAGGAGGAGGAGGAGGGGGAGGGAGAGGAGCAGGAGAAAGAGCCAAGGGGAGAAAGAAGAGCTTTCTTAGATTGTTGTGCTGAGTCAGGAGGAGCAGCAGGGGCACCCAGGAGACTGTGCCACCCCGAGGCGGGGCGGACCCCGCACGATGCCGCGTGGCCCGCGAGGGGTGCTCCCGCGGCCCGACTGGTGGCACTCGGACCGTGGTCACATGCTTGGGGCGTGCGGCACCAGGAGTCAGGGGAGGGGAAGCCACCACGACCCCCACAGTTCGACGTTCACTGAACAGCCCTGGCCCATCCGATCCCTTCTCTGGGAGTGTTCTTGTCTAACGGCTCTCATTGTCGGGGTGTGTATGACGAGTGTGTTTGCTTCTGCTCTCTACTGAGGTCCTGGCGTTGCAACTGTTACACAACGGGCAACGACGTCACCTCGCTTCGGGTCCAGGGACCATCACAGATGGAGCTGGCCCGAATCATGCAGCAGATCCAGTCGAGCTGGTACACAGCGTTGTACGTTGTTCGCAACGTCAGGCCTCAGCCAGGGCAGGAGGAAGGAGGGGGATGCCCAGACATCTGACGTCCTGATCTTTCCCCTATCCTCCTGCGCTGGGCTCTCATGTTGCACAGAGCACTGCTCGCGCGCCTCCTGCCTCCTTCCTCCCGCCTCGCTCCTCCTCCTCCTGTCCCCTACCTCATGCCTCCTATCTGCGTCTCCCTTTGGGGGTCTGTCTACTGTGCAACTGTCGGCACTTTTGTGGGCTCCTGGGAAGCCAACTGGACGGGGGGGAAACGCTGATTCCATGTGAGAACTCGCGGCTTCCTCGGGACGCTGCCCATTGCGCAGACGTCGCCACGCTCGTGGGCTCCTGGGGAGCCCAGCGGAGTGGGGGTGTACGTTGGCGGGTCCAGGCAAGACCTCGCGGCTCTCTGGTGGGCTGCCAACTGCGCAGTTGTTGTCGACACTTTCGTGGGCTCCTGGGGAGCCCAGCGGAGCGGGGGGGGGCACGCAGGTTCCAGTCGAGACCTCGCAGCTGCCTCGGGGGGCTGCCGACTGCGTCGTTGTCAACACGTTCGTGCGCTCCTGGGAGGCCTCGCAGAAATGGGGGGAGGGAGGGAGGGAGGGAGGGAGGACGAGGCTAGAGGCCCTGGCCAGCGCGCCCACTACCCCCCTCCTAGGAAGGAGCGGCCATCGCCGAGATGCGCGCCGCTCCGTGGGACACTGGCGCCGCGCGCCGAGGCTGGCGATGGCCGCTGCTCATTGTGCGCCTTGACCGCGCGACGACGATGCCAAAAAAGATGGCGGCGGCGATGACGACGACCAAGACGACGACGGCAGTGGCGACGGCGGCGACCACGGCGGCGGCGACGACGGCGGCGGCGACGGCGATGGCGACCACGGCGGCGCCGACGGCGCCGACGGCGGCGGCGACGACGACGGCGGCGGCGGCGACGACCACGGCGGCAGCAGCGACGGCAACGGCGGGGACGGCAGGCGCTGGCGCGCATCGTGGCCGCCGAGACGCAGCCCACCGGCGAGAACGGCACCCCGAAGGAGACCACGAGGGGCCGCGGCCGCCAGCGGCGGGCCCGCGATCTCGCCGACCCGCGGCCCGCCCGATCCAGCGAGGAGGTGCACCCGTCTGGGCCTCCCAGGTGGGATCGGATGAGCCTGGCATCGCTCGGACGTCTGCATTTTTTCTCGGCGAGGACCATCGAGGAGCATACACCTTGGAGCATCGGGTAAAAAGAATATCGCACGACACCGAAAAATGGTGCGGGGAACGGACGTTTGAGCGATGGCAAGTCTGGGCCTCCCAGATGGGATCCGACTAGAGGGGTCGGAGGATCGCGCCGCATCGCCGATTCCTCGGCGATGCGGCTCGATGCGGAGCCCGATGTTCGCCACACTGGCGGCGGCGATGCATCGCCGACGTCGCCGATGCATCGCTGATGCGGCTTGTTCCTCCAACCCCATATCCTCGGACCCCATCTGGGAGGCATCTAGCCCAGATCTCCGACGATCTAATGTTTCGGCCAGCGTGTGTTCTTCGATTCCGTCCGGCCAGCCCTCGGGGACCCATTCTCGGGCCCCGTGGCTGTCAGAAATAATCCGGGGCCAAAATCTCGCCCCGGGGACACGGTCGGGACGTTTGGGGCCGAGGAGTGAAAAAATGATGTCGGCAGATGTCAGGAAAGATTATTGCTCCGTTTTCTGATGATTTCTTCATGGCCTCTGACATGCTTGTGTCGTGAAGGGAAACCACGGCGGGAAGATTTTGGCAGTGCCCGGCCCCTGGTAGCCCTCCCCCTGGGGCTCTAAAAAAACGGCTCGGGTTAAGTCGGGCCTGTCCCTCTACAGGAGGAATAGTTTAAGATAGTAACAGGTAATTCGTCTGGGTACGTTTTCTTACTATTCCCTATCATTTGCGAGTTTGTTTTGGCTATTTTCAAAATGTTCCTTTCAGAGTCCGCCTGTAGGGGTGCATGCCCGACCTAAGACTCGCTGAAAAGCCGGTGCCCAGAGAGGGCAGACCTTCGGGGAGCCACGCTGCGAACAGAAACACGTCGTCGGATGTACTGGTCTCACACGGACCCGAAGATGGACCCGGGTGCCCGTCTCGCCCTTGGAGCCCGAGAGCGGCGCCCACAACAGGCAGATCAGCTAAACATAAAAACAGGCAACATCCGACCACGATCCTGGGGACAACGTCAGGGGGGATAGCCCCAGGGGGGGGATGCATCGACATCCAATCGCGCATTCATCGCCGACGGGGGCCTGATAGCCTACCCTTCCCAGGAAAGTCCCATTTCGTTATCGGCATACCTAGGGATACGATGCCTTGATTTCGTTCAAGACGGGGTCCCCCCGAAGTCCCGACCCTTCCCCCAGAACCGGCTTCTCATCCTGAGCCATTTTGGGGCAGTCCCGGGGCCCAGGCGAGGGCCTGTTGTAGACGCCGAAGAAAAGAGCGAAACAGATGCGTCTTGAGTTTTACAATACGTTGGATCTCTTCAGGGCTGGACCTACACGCTGTTTTGCTGGACTTCGGCTGTCTTTTGTGTTTCGTTTCGGCAGGGAGGTACAGGAAAACGGGTCGAGCAAAACAAACAATAAAACCAACAACAGCGTTTAGGTCCAGCCCTGGACCCTGTCAGCCAACCTAGCACGGGAACGTGCGGTTTTGCTACTGGGGGCTTATCGGCGATCCATCGGCGATGTCTCTCTCTGATCCAAGCTCGCTGTTGCCCCGTCTGAGTCGGGGGCTGCTACAGTAGTAAAGGTGCCTCCCAGCTGTTCGCTCCATGCTGGAGCCCCTGGGGCCCTCTGGGCCTCGTCGTGGGGGGGGCTCTGGAGGCCGTAGGGGCCTCCTTGGATGTCCTGGGGCCCCCTGGGGCCCAGGGGCACTCTGGGCAGCACCCGGCTTGCATAGAGTTAAGTCAGGCATGTCCCTCTACACGAGGAATATTCAAACATAGTCTAAAAAAGTATGGGGCCGATTGTTCTATTATCTTTTGATTCTGGTTGAGCATGTTTTGAGCATTTGACAGTTTTCGTCCTCCGCCTGTAGGGGGACATGCCCAGCCTAAGCCTGGGCGCCCCGGGAGGGGGGCTCGAGGCCTCGTCTCTGAGGAATATCGAGGGGGGGGAGGGGGCGTGCTCGCGCCCTGGGATACCTCGTGGGGTTCTCTTGGGCGCTCTCCTGGTTTTTTCAAGAGGCCATTCCAGCCTCTGGGTGCTCTCCAGCAGCGCCTCGCCGAGAGCGCTCTGCAGAGCTGTCCGGACCGTCCCGAACGGCCGCCAGAGGCCTATGTTACGGCCAGAGAACATCACAATCCTCGCGCGGTGGCAGCGACCGCGGCAGAAGGCTTCCGGCCCTTTTCGGCCCCTGGGGGCCCTCACGCACTGGGCCCCAGGGCTGCCGAGAAGCGGCTCGGGATGGAAGCTCCCGTGCTCGGTGGAAGGGTCGGGCCTTCCGAGGACCCCGCACGGGCAGAGTCAAGACATCGGATGCCTGGGGAGGTGGGCAGGACTGGAGGGTTTCTCCGAAGGGCTTAGGCGACCCGTCCTCCTCCTCCTCCTCCTCCTCCTCCTCCTCCTCCTCCTCCTCCTCCTCCTCCTCCTCCATCTCCTCCTCCTCGGGTCGCCTACGGCCCCGGGGGAAACCGTGCAGGCCGGGCCCCCTCCCCGGGCCTTTTTCGCGTCTTGCTTTTTGGCGCGTGGACGGTCCTCGGGCTCTGGGGCCGTCAAGGGGAAGGAAGCGGCCCCAGGGAAGGGCTCGAGAGCTCATGGCACATGGATGGAGCTTGAAACGCGCCAGACGTCTGGGTCTCGCCCTCGGCGGAAGCCTACAGTAGGAGCTCGACCACAATAGACCTTCCACAAGAAACCCAACCCTGAGACCCCAGCACGCCCGTTGGCTTGTGTGGGAACGTCACTCTTTCCGTGGCAAAACCATCGAAACCCAAGAAGCCCAGGGCACCCTGGAGGCAAGCAGGGTGTTTCTTGGCATGGCGTTCCATTGCAAGTATAAAGGAGTGACGGCTCCGCTGGCGTGCTCTGAGGTCGCAAGGAGAGGTTGACCCCGATCAGGCGAGGTCAGCGCTGGGATACCCAGAGTCTCAGACCACAGACGCCTCAATGTTGTTCGAGTCGCCAGCCCCCAGAGCTAGCGACCAATTCTGCGGCACCAGCTTGAGCTGCCTTGGAGACCATCTGGGAGCAACGGAGGCCCTCTTGGAGCCATCTTGGGCGAACCCCTGAACACACCGCGAAAACCCCCAAAAACCTCAGGGAGGGGAGGGGGAGGGTACCCCTCCCCGAGGGGAAGAGGGTTTTGAAAGAAATATGACAGAGCTCATTAGACCACGGCTGATGGGATGCCGCTGATCGCTCGGCTGGCGGCCCCGGGGCCAGGAAGCACGGCTCCTGGAGAGGCCCACGCTTCGGATCCGGCGGCCGCCATGCTATTCGCACGCGGGTCTTCGCCAGAGGCCCGGGCGGCTCGGACGGTATCTTTGGAGGGACGCTCGTCCTTCTCCTTCTCCCCCTCCTCCTCTTCTTCCACTCTGCCTCTCCCCTGCACGGAAATACCCGGGCGATGATTTGTCATGGGTGAAAATTACTGTCGTGCGAGAATGCCGCGCCCCCAGGCGAAGGTTCTCTGCGCGAGTTTGTCTATTGGCAGGTCGCCTTGTGTGGCGTTCCGGGTTTGCTTGGCGACTCTTTGGCTCGCCCTGCGCCTCCGATCTACTCGCAGGGATGCTTCACAGACATCGCACGCCATGACTCTTGCAACACGAAGCCATCAGTCCTGTCAACCAGAGGACAGCAGGAGGACACGAGGAGAAGAAATGGAGGGGGGGACTGCGAGGGGCAGGACGACGTCCGACGACGGCGACGGCGGCAGCGGCGCTGACCGCAGCGACGACGGCGACCCTTCAGATACGACGTTGCGAAAATTATGCAGCACCACGACAAATCACGACCTGAGCCCTAGACCCCATCTGTCTGCGTCATTTTTCAAGCCCGATCGATCTGTGAGGGCCCTGGGGCCCGGAAGCAGGGCAGAACTCCCCGCTGTCGAAACATTGCAGCACCAGGATCTGAGGGACAGTGCCCACAGCGCTGACGGCGACGGCGGCGGCGGCGGCGGCGCTGACGGCGGCAGCGGCGGCGCCAACGGCGGCGGCGGCGGCGACAGCGGCGGCGGCGCTGACGACGGCGGCGGCGGCGCTGACGACGGCGGCGGCGGCGCTGGCGGCGGCGGGCGGCTCCCGAGGCCCGGGGGCCCTCTCCGGCCTCTTCCTCGCAGCCAGCCGCGGCGGGCCGTGCGCGGAGCAGGCGGTCCTGCCGGAGCCCGCCGCAAGGTCGTCAGTCGTGGGTCGTCCGCGTCGCTGTCGTCGCGGTCGGTCGTCCGTCGTCGGTGCCGAGAGATCCCACGCATTGAAAACTCAAGACGGGTTTTTGTTCGCCGCTCTCGGCCTCTATAGGAAGCCTCGCCGGGCCGCGGGACTGTCAAAAAGTATTGAGGGAAAAGCTGGTCCTGGGGAAGAGGTCGCGACTCGTCCGGGGGCCCCGCATTGCCAAAAGCAAGACGTCGGCTCTCGGCGTGTCGGCGCCGTGGTGGGCCGCTGGTCGTCGGCCGTGAATCGTCGGGCGTCCGTGCCATCGTCGTCGTGGTCGGCCGTCGGCGTGGTCGGCCGTCGGCCGTCGGCGCCGTCCGTGCCGTTGTCGTTGCGTCCCGCCGTCGGCAACGTCGCGGTGGGGCGTCCGTTGTCGGTCGTCGGTGTCGTCGTGTTCCCTCGTCGCAGTCGGTCGGCGGTCGTCGCCGTCGGTCGACGTCGCCGCCGCCGCCGCCGTCGTCGTCGTGCCCATGCTCCGCCCCCTCCACTGCCGCGACGCGAGAGGAGGGGGCAGGAACGGGAGCTTCATGGGCCCAAACGAAAATCACAGGAAGCGAGAAGTGGCAAAATACGTGCTGCTGCTGCTCCGTCGTGCCAGAAATACGGTCAGGAGCGTTGGCTCCGCATGTCGCGCCGCCAGCTCTGGCCCCCCCACGCTTCGGCGCGACACGCTATAGCCACGTCCCGGCCCCTGGGGAGTCCGGTCTCGAGCTGTGATTCCGAGCCTCCGCGGAGCAGGGCGACACGCCATCAGCTCGCAGGGCATGGCGTGACGCCGGGGCCGGCGTCTCGACACACTGAGCACAAGTTCTCGGCCGTTGGCGTCTTCCTGCTTCTTCGTGGTTCCAATAGGTGTCTTGGTTACTGGGCCGTATTGTTCTAGGCGGCGTTTCTCCAGACGGGTGGTGTGAAGCTACTAACGTTTGTAGGTTACGCGTTACGTCTGGAGTATGACAATAAGTGAGAGGAGCATGTCCAGGTTCTCTGCCAGCTGTTCCGCCCGCCGGATTCTCCAGAGCTCCTGAAACGTAATTTTCTCGAGCCAATGTCGTCATCACATCGTTCTCGTCCTGGAGACTTCTGGACGTCGTGACTCTCTCAGCACGCGGGGCCCCGAGATCTCAACCCTTGCCCAGAGACCGCTTCGTTCGCCCCGGATCGTTCCAGCGCAGGCTCGGGGGCCCGAGACGCCCGCACCTCGCGCGCCGCGACGCGGGGGGCCCTTGCCGGGCCCCCGCGGGCCTGCCACAGATCTCCTCGGGATGGAAAGTTGGTCCCCGGGACGGGGCCCAAGCCCTGCAGGGAAGCCGCGTTCTGTGAGCCCAGGCCGTTTTCTTGACGGCCCCACGGGCCGCAGACGGCCCCTGCAGGCCGGGAGCAGGCCGCGGAGAGCACGCCGTGCCGATCTCCTCCGGGCCGCTGGAGATCTGGGCCGCTCCGGAAGGTCCGCGGACCGTCCTTTTGGGAGGTGCCCGGAGGCCCCGTTCGGGTGCTGCCCGAAGTGCCCCTGGCCCGGGGGGGGGGCCCAGGGTTTCCAAGGAGGCCCCCGCGGCCTCCAGAGCACCCCCTCACGAGGCCCAGGGCTGGACCTGAACGCTGTTCTGCTGGGCTTCGGCTGCGTTTTGTTTCTCGTTGCGGCAGGGAGGCACAGGAAAACAGGCAGAGCAGAACGAACAACAAAACGAAGACAAAACGAGAAACAGCGTTTAGGTCCAGCCCTGCCGAGGCCCAGAGGCCCCAGGGGCTCCAATCATCGGCGGGGGAAGCTGGGGGCACCTCGGGCCAGGGGCACCCTTCGCAGCACCCGACCCGCGGCCTGCCTGGCCGAGGCCTCCAGAGAACGGCCGGTGGAGGCCCAGAGACGGTCAAGACGCACGACCACTGCGGTCTTCCCCAGGCTTCCGACGCAAGGTTGGTTTCAAGCGCGGCGTTGTTCCTGCATCCCTGCCCCTGGTCATTATCGTTTCAGCGATCCTTCTCCCCCCATCCTAGTCCCCATCCCAAACCCCAACATCCCGCCACCCCAGTCGGGGATATACCCTTCGAAATCCAAAGGGAAGAGACTATATATCCACGTCTAGGCGATTTAATCGGCCAGTGGAATATAGGCCACGTCAATGGGGATAGGGATCGGTTAAACAATGTTCAGGGCCGCGTCCAGGCCCCAGGATGATCGACAATGGATCCAGGAGGCAAGACTACCCCAGGGGGAAGGAGTCGGGAGCTCGGGCGCGGTGGATTGAAAAAAGTAGTATCGGAGGATGTCTGGGTGTCTGCTCGGTCTGAAGAGGCAGTCGGCCGACCGTGGCCGAGGTACCCGCGGGGGTGTCCACGGAGGTCCCTGGGTCCTGGCATGTCCTGGGCATGTCCCATGATGTCTTGAGGGGTCCCGCCAATGTCGTGGGATGTCTTTCCGGGATGGTCGGGCACGGTCGGGTTGTGCCCCGCGGGATTCGTGGGTGTTTTTGTTGCGCTGTTTTCGGGGGCCCATGGATATTAATCCTTGTGGGTGGCACAACGGGTCATTATCCGCCCTCTGCGCGCGTCAAGATGCAGGGTATTGAGAGTACTCCGCTAAAGCAGTCAAGGTGCATGGTCAAGGGGGTACGCGCTTTGGTACACGGTTACGAAGGAGCCTTGCTTCGAGGCAGGCCTGCGCGCGCCTGCACGAGGGGCTCTGCACCAAGACAGGCCAGCACGTGCGGCTCCACAGAGTCGTCGGCGGCTGAGATCAACAGCGCGCGATAGACTGAGTCGATCTGGAGGTCGACGCATCGCCGTTTAAGTACATCGTGGAGGCGAGTCGATGCGGATCGAGCGCTCACCACGCATCATCGATGATTCAACGATGCGGCGCTTCCCTCCGACCCCGTCTACTCCGGCCCCCTCTGGGCGGCCTCTACAAAAGCACCACCATTCGGGGAGCCCAAACATGTGCGGTGACCACACCGTGTGGTGGATCAGTGGGGATGCAGGGCGTCCTCGCGGTTTTGCAACTCGGGTCGTTCTCCAGTGGTGTCCATGCGGTGGCGGACCGTGCGGTGGGGTCCTTCGCGATTCCGAGCTCCCTGGGCGGTTTGCCGCCGCGCCGCTTCGGGACCCCCACCCTCTGCGCGTGCATCCGACGCGCGGCTCGGACTGTGCACCTGGTCTGTGTGCGATTCGCCAGGCAGCGCCCCTGCGGAGGCACTGCAGACGCGGTGCGCGATCGCTGTCGCTGCGCCGCGCGCGCCGCGGTCTCCTTCTCCAGGGCGGCGGCGCGAGGGCGCGAAGAGAACCGAGCGCTCTCGCACCGCGGTGCGCGGGCCACTACTTCCCGAGCCACCCCCGCCCAACCCGAAGGCCCTGGACAGCCGCAAATTTCGGGTTGCGGGGCGTACGGGTTCCACCGTGCTTCCTCCGTGTTATGGAGTCGACGAGCCAGACGGTGACTTCGGGGTAGGTTGGCGGTGGTCTGGTCGGTAGCCAGCGAGGGCGCAACGTCAGGTGGCCTCGGCGAACCGGGCCAGGTGTGCTTCCGGCTGCCTGGTGCACGAGCGAATTGGGACGGAGAGAATGGGTACGATTCCCAACAGCAGTTCTTGTTCATTTGGAGCCGGACTCGCTGTCCGCGCCGCCGCGGACGTTGCCCATTTGAAACAGAAGGCCGCCTAGACAACATTTGTTTTTAGGGCATCGTACACATTTCTTCCGTACCCATTTCGAGGAAACGTAAGACTCGAGTAAGCCAGAATTCGGGTATGCCGACGTTTTCTGACGAGCGCGTCCTGGAGTTTGACTGTCCGGTGTTCGTGGGATGCTTGCAGCGGGATCTCGCGTCAAAGTTCAGATTGTGTCGCGTCACTTTCATCAGGACCCCGTCAGGCCAGCCCGAGGCCCCCTTTCCCAAGCCTTACGTCTCCCCGACCATGTTGGGCTTTAGTCGGGCTTGTCCCTCTACAGGAGGAGTACTCAAACATTGGTTAAAATCTGGGGCAATTTGTTCATTAATTCATTAATTCTGACCATTTGGGGATATGGTTTGACTATGTTTTACGTGTCGTCCAGGATCCGCCTGCAGGGGGACATGCCCGACCTAATGTTAGGCGTCCACACTGTTCGCACCGCACACAGCAGGCCGACTGCTGGCCCCCCAGTGCTGCTCCCCGCGCCCTCGTGCCCTGCGGCACGGGGGCCACGGCCCGGCCGTGGCCTCCAGCAGGCCGTGGCCGCCCCTCCTCCGCGGCCCTCGCCCCCTCCCCTCCCCTCGCCTCCCAGCCTTTGCCCCCCTTCGCCTCCCCTGTCGCCTCCCCTCCCCCCCCCCCTCGCTTCCCCTCGCCTCCCAGCCTCCCCCCCTCGTCTCCCCCCCCCCTCGCCTCCCCTCGCCTCCCCTCCCCTCTCTCCCCCCTCGCCTCCCTTCGCATCCCCTCGCATCCCCCCTCCCCTTCCCCTCGCTTCCCCTCGCCCCCCCAGCCTCCCCCCGTATCGATGCACCGCGGCCTCTGGCAGGCCAGGGCCGCCCATCCTTTGCGGCCCTCAGGACTGTAAAGGTCCCGCCGAGGACAGGCAGGCCAGGCATTGGCAGCGATCATGATGTCAATGCCATCCAAGCTGGCAAGCAACCCAAGACAGGTAAGATGCCTGTCCAACTGCTGAAGGCCCAGGAGGACCCAACGCTGGCTGTGCTCCCGCAAGCCAGTTGCACGACAGGTCATCGGCGGTGTGCCCCCCCCCCTTTCGCCTCCCCTCGCCTCCCATGCTCCCCTCGCCTCCCTCTCTCCTCTCCCTCCTCTCCCCTCCCCTCCCCTCCCAGCCTCCCCCCCTCGCCTCCCCTCGCCTCCCCTCCCCTCGCCTCTCCTCGCCTCCCTCTCCTCAATTCGCCTCCCCTCCCCTCGCCTCCCCTCGCCTCTGGCCTCCTCTCGCCTCCCCTCGCCTCCCACCCTCGCCTGCCATCCCGCCTTCCTCTCGCCTCCCATGGCCCCCCCGCCCCCTTGTCCGTCCCGCCACGGCCCGAACAGTTGGCCAAGCCCTGGGAGCTGCGTGCCAACGGGGCCACGGGCAATCGCAAGCGTCATATCTTTGTGTATATATATATATACATACGCATATATCAGAGTGAGGGGGGCCGAACGGCCATTCATTGTCCCTGGGTGCGTGACTAAAGTGAGAATACGTGGTAAGGATTATGTTCGGTGCGTTGCTGTTGTTGTTGTTGGTGTTGCTGTTGGTGTTGTTGTTGGTGTTGTTGTTGGTGTTGGTGTTGTGGTGGTGGTGGTGTTGTTGTTGTTGTTGTTGTTGTTGTTGTTGTTGTTGTTGGCGATGGTGGTGTTATCGGTGTTGTTGTGGTTGTTGTTGGTGTTGATGATGTTGCTGTTGATGTTGGTGATGGTGGTGCTGTGTTTGTTGTTGCTAATGATGTGTTCCTTGTTTGTGTCGTTGTTGTTGTTGCTGTTGTTGTTGTTGTTGTTGTGGTTGTTGTTGTTGTTGTGGTTGTTGTGGTTGTGGTTGTTGTGGTCGTTGCTATTGTTGTTGTTGGTGGTGTTGTTGTTGCTGCTGCTGTTGTTGCTGTTGTTGCTGTTGTTGTTGCTGTTGCTGTTGTTGTTGGTGTTGTTGTTGTTTGTTGGTGTTTGTTGTCGTCGTCCCACCCGCGACCCATCTGCGACCCACCCCCGCGACCCACCCGCGACCCACCCGCGACCCACCTGCGACCCAACCCGCGACCAGCCGCGACCCACCCGCGACTCACCCGCCACCCACTTGCGATCGAACCCGTGACCCACATTGTTCTAGCAAAAAAAATTGGCGGTTGCGGCGGGCTCGTTTTATAGCTTGGAAAATTCTGTGCTTGCGGCCCCCTCACTCTTATCCGCAACTGCGGGGTGCTACGTACACACACCTGAGCCGCATAGAGGAGGGAGGCCTGCGCCAAGGCTTACGGTATAGCCGAGAAGGCCCAATGAGAGGCTCGACGGCCTGCTCATTTGCAACCGACGCCGTCGCAGCGCTCGCAACTCCGCAACGCGCGCGTGAGCCTCAGGACGGGGGGAGAGGAGGAGGAGGAGGAGGAGGAGGAGGAGGAGGAGGAGGAGGAGGAGGAAAAGGAGGAGGAAAAGGAGGAGGAAAAGGAGGAGGAGGAGGCGGAGGAGGCGGAGGAGGAGGAGGAGGAGGAGGAGGAGGAGGGCTGGGCCCGCCGGGCCCCGGGCCCCGCGCCACGCCCCCTGCCCGGAGGAGCTGATCGGGCAGCTCATCCGCAACGAGGTGGTGGAGCCCCCGCAGGCGGCCGACGGCGGCGGAGAGGACTCGGTGGCCGAAGGACGGGGTTCGGAGGAACGGGGTCCTAAGCCCAGACATGATCGCGTCGGAAAACAATCAGGACGGAAGGTTTTTGGCCGTTTTCGGCCCTCGGGGGCCCTCGCTGGGCCTCGGGACCGTCAAAAACGACTCAGGATAAAAAACCCGTCCAGGGGCCCCGCATTGAAAAATCAAGAAGTCGCGTGTCTGGGAGGACGAGGTGCCTCAAACAGCGCCAGTCCACCCCATGGATCCCTTCTTACCGCTCGGCCCCCATATGCCTCAGGACTCCATCCTCTGAGCCACCGGAGGACGGGGAAGCGCCGAGGATCAGCCAGGGGCCCAGCGGGAGAGGGAGAGCGGAGAGGACGAGGGGGCGGCGGGCAAAGGCGCGCGGCGAAGGACAGCCTCGGTACAGGCCTGCGTGCGCCGCGGGGCACACGGGACACGCCCGCTTGGTCAGGAGGGTTGGGCCGCACCCTCGCCCCCCCTCTTGAGGGGGAGGGGGCGAAATCGAAGGGGAGAGCGAAGAGGACGAGGGAGGAGGGGGGAGGACTGGCGAGGCTTCGGGCTGAGTGCAGACAGCCCTCCCAGAGAGTCCCGGCTGGCCTCCACCGGCCCCCCGAGTAGTCCAGGCTGGCCTCAACAGGCACCCATTGTAGCCCGGGGCGGTCGCAACGCCCTGGTGCCGCCCGCGGCGGCGCACCTGGGGCGCTCCGCGCCCCTAGGGCTGTGGTGTTGAGACCGCTCCTTTGGGTGCCTGTTGAGGCCAGCTGGAACTTGGGGCCTGTTGTCAAGGGAGGAAAACCACCCGGACCCAATAATCCGCGTTTACTAAACGGCCCTGGGCGTTTACTAAAAGGCCCTGAACTGTTCGATTGCTTCTTTGGGCGCAGTTGCTAAACGTCTTCGCGTGCCGGGGTGGTCATTATGTGGGTGGATTGTTTTACCTCTATGTTGAGGCCAGCCGGGGCTGCCGGGGACCCAGGCATCCGGCGTCGCATTTTTGGTTCGCAGCGTGGCTCCCCAGAGGTCTGGAACCCTTCAGGGTCAACGGCTTTTCATCCTAACCGCTGTTGTTGCGGCCCTTGGGCCCGGCCAGGGCCTGCCGGAGGCCGAACATTGTTGGTCCGTCTTGTGGACAGACATAAACACATTCAGTCGCTGGCTCTTCATGGCGCCGGGGGGTCGGTGGAAGAGGAGAAGCAGAACTAGTGAGACATGAGAAATGAGGAAGACGAGGAGGAAGAGGAAGGAGGAAAGAACGAAGGAGGAGGACGAGGAGGAGGAGGAGAAGAAATGAGAACTGATGGAGGTGAACGGAGGTGGGGGAGGAAGGACGACGAGGAGGGAGGAGGAAGAGAGGGAGAGGACGAAAACAGAGAAGGAGGCGGAGGAGGAGGAGGAGGAGGAGGAGGAGGAGGAGGAGGAGGAGAAGGTGGTGAAGGTGGTGGAGGAGGAGGAGGTGGAGGAGGAAGAAAGAGGAGGGACGAGGAAGAGAGACGAGGGAGGAGGAGTGGGAAGAGGGGGGAGGGTTGATGATGATGAGGAGGAGGAGGAGGAGGAGGAGGAGGAGGAGGATGAGGATGAGGATGAGGATGAGGATGAGGATGAGGATGAGGATTAGGAGGAGAGGGAGGGAGGAGGAGGAGGAGGAGGAGGAGGAGGAGCCGGAGCAGGAACAGGAGCAGCTGCAGGAGCAGGAGCAGGAGCAGGAGCAGGAGCAGGAGGAGTCCGTCCCATTTTGGCTCAAGTCCGTAGCCATGTGGCTCAAGGACTTGCGTTTCTCTGGTGTGGGGATTATTGCGGCCCCCGACAGCGATCGATCAGTTTTCTGATACGGTACTTAGCTCCGCCTGCCTCCTGTATGCTGTGTCATTTGCGTGGCCTTCTGTATGCTTGTCGCGATCATGCCAACGGATGGCCACATCCGAGCTAACACACCTCACCGGAAGCGTTGGCGTTGCAGCGAGTCGAGATGTCAGCGTAATGAATCGTGGCACGTTGTGGTCAAGGGAAAGCTTGCCCGACCCCTCCTTGGCGTCATGATCTTCATCCTGGTAATTGGTCTCGTGGGCCCCCCGCTTTGCCAGGACCGCAGGGAGGAGGGTGGGTGTAACAGCCTGCGCCTGCTGCCGGCCCACAGCGCGGGGCCGCCGCCCCGCCCGCCGCCGCGCAGCCAGGTTTGCAGGTTGCGGCCTCGGGATGGCTGGGAGCAGCGGCACAGGCCGCGGCCCACGGCAAAAAGGGTTTCGAGGCTAGTAGCTTGCCGCGGCTCCGCGATTTCGTCACAACCTTTGAGGCCCTCGGCGACCAGCGACAACTGCAGCATTTCAAGTCTCAGGTCTCCAAGCTCGAGGCGGCTTCGAGGCCGCCCCCGCCACCCACCGCGGGTGCGGCCAAGCATGCCATGGCCCAGGCGCGCCAGCAGCTGGACCGCACGGCGCGGGCGACGAGCAAGCTGGAGGAGCAGCGTCGCTCGGCGAAGTAGCAGGCACTACTGGCGCACCACCAGTTCCAGGAGCGCGAGAAGGCCTACCTGCAGGCGGTCCGAAGACTGCAGGACGAGGTGCTGTCCGCGCAGCCGCCCACTAAGCCGCCCCTCGACCTGGCGCTGCTGCTGGAAGGGGCGATGTCGAGCGCACCGAGGGCTTGAAGCTCTCGAAGGAGGAGCAGGCCGAGCTGGATTCACGCAGATCTAGGGTGCTCACCATCTTCCGCGAGACGGTGCAGGTTACCTTCGGAGGGGCCAGGAACAAGGTGGCCTCGATGGTGGCGGAGCAGCAGGCTTTCTCATAGCGCATGGCTGAGACCAAGCAAGCGCAGGCGAGTGGCGGAGAGCGGGGAGGCCGCAGGCCGAGGACCTGACGCCCCCCCCCAGCGTCGGAGGCGCTGCCGCGTCCGCATCCCCTGCCGCCGCAGCAGCCGCCGGTCCAGGCACTGGCACTGGGTCTGGCGCTGCCCCAGCTGCTGCTGCCGCTGCTGCACATAATTATGGGCATCCAGATGGCTTCACGGACGTGGATCGGGACGGTGCCTTCCTGCCGTCGCCCGAAGCCCTCGAGGTCCCAGGTGATGATGAGGAGGAGCAGCTGTTCGCCGCTGCCGCTGCCAAAGCTGCTGCAGGGTCGACGGTTTGACGATCACGCCGACGTCGGCGCAGACACCAGTGTTGCCCGCGGTATTCCGTGGACAACTCCCATTGCCCAGGAAGTGCTTCCCTGGGGGGGGAGGGCGGCGACAACGGCATGCACGGCGTCTGCGCTACCGCGAGGACAGCTCACATGGCCCAGGAAGTGCGTTCCCTGGAAAGGAGCGGCGCTTACGGTGTGCACGGCATCTACGGTGCGGGATGGACTGCTCCCATGGCCCACGAAGAGCATTCCTTGGGAGACGCGGCGACGGCTACGGGTGCGGCGTCTGCGGGAACGGTGACGCATTCGGGGCAGACGACCTTGTCTCCTCCGGCGGCTCCAGCTCACAATGATCTGACGTCGAGTATGAATGCAGTTCCCTTGTTCGCGGATGAGGTGACGACATGCTCAGTCCCCTTCCCCTAGAAACGTTGATGCGCCAGCCTTCTTGTTCCTGGGGGGTTCTCCATGAGGGTTGGGCTCTCGCTTCGGAGGAGCATGATGCTGGTTATTTTCCAGATGTTCAGGTTGTCCTGTTCTTCCGCGCGGGCTCCAGGGACGAACGGTCGAGCGCATTCCGTCGCGCAGGTTCTTTGCGTGGCGGGCGCGGTTTTTTTTCCGCGCATCGAAGCGCCCTCGGAGATTCCAACCTGCATTCTGCCTTGCTCTTGGGGAGTCCGTGAGTCGCAGCCGCCGCGGCGCGATTTTCGAGGCGATCCCTGTGGGTGCTGTTCGCGGGCGCTGGGCGCGGCGCGCGCTGCGCCCAATCGCGCGCGGCGCGGCGCGCGAATCGGCCGGCCGCGCCCGTCGGACCGCCCGGAAATTATTTCCGAATAGCAGAATGGTTCGAAGAAGCGCTTCCGGTTTTCCGGTGCAAGCGTATCCGGAAATTTTCCTAAATGAGCCCGGGCAGTTTTAGCCGGAAAAAGCTGTTCTGTGGGATGGAATGCGCCCGCCGCGCAGGACATCTGAAATCCCGAATTTTGCAAAATGAATTTCGGATTTCTTTCCAAATTGACCCCGGAATGTGTCAAAATCGATGCTGGGATTTTTCGACCAGTAGGCCAGACATTTTCCAAAACGTTCCCAGATTTCTTAAATCTGCCCTGGGGGAATTTTCCAGAGTCGCGCGTGATTTGCTTTGCAGGGTCTTCGGCGAACCGCCGAGGCGCGCAGCGCGCGGCGGCGGCCGACGGGGCGGCGCCCCCCTGCCCCCTCGGCAACGAAAGGGGGGATCAGCAAGTGCCAAATAGAGCCCCTTACGGGACGGGCGACTACTCGATTGCGAATGATCCGAGTGACCGACCAGGCTAGCGGCGCCGGGCAGAGCAGACAATACTCGACGCAAAGCGCACCCCGCGCGAAAGCTATTAGAATTCCCGGAATCCCCGGGACGCACCGTCCTGTCGCTTTCGTTTCAACGCTTCAGCGGCTGCGTTCCACTTGGCAGGAAATGCCGAGCCAAGCGGTGCTGAACCACATCGGGCCACTCAGGAGACGAGTTCGCATCTTAGATTACTCCGTCGTCGCCAATGTCCTCGCGCCGTCAGTCCAGGGATGAGGCGGCCCTGGCCCCGCGTCGGCCTGCCCGGCTCCGTCTACATGCCAAAGCTGCACCCGCTACTGTCTTGGTCACCAGCGGCCCTCGGAAGCTCCCGATAGAGATCCCCGCGGGGCCTAGGCCAGCCCCGCCTGACTGGAGCGACACCCTGGAGGCGCTGGAGCAGCGCGGGGACCAGACGGCCCTCAACAAGGCCTTTTCTAGGAAATTCGTAGGTCTGCGTTGAGGAGGAGCCCGTCAGGGCCCACGGGGTTCCAGAGGACCAGCAGGCCAGGCATCGAAGAAGAGGC